TCCCATATCCAGTACCTCAGCTGGCATGTAGGATCCGATTTCAGACCTTTGCTTCTTTATCTTCTTTATTTACCTCTTTTTCTAAAAATATGCCATCCAGTTACATCAGGGAATGGAGAGTAATGGTTAAGTAGCTTCTAGAAGAGAGGATTTGGATTTGAATCTCCCGGTTAAACCACTTAGTGGCAGTGTGACCTTGGGCAAATTACCTAACTTCTCCATCTTGTCTGTTGAAGGGGGGATAAAAAAGGTACTTGTATTTATTTTGTAGGCAAAAAATACATGAATCAAAGTGTTCATGCTCAACAAATAGTTCTCAGAAGAATACTTGCTGTTATCATTATCCCCTTCACTCCCTCTTATGATCATCTACCATCCTTCCAACTAACCTCATTTAGTTGGCTCCACAGAATAGGGAATATGTGAAAAAATGATGTCACAGACAAATATTTGCTGGATTCTTAGTATCTCGACCTTGATTTAAATGTCCTTAGCCTCCATTCCCTTTCAGCCACATGTATCTATGAATTTCATAGGTATAGTTCCCTATGACCTGGAAACTATTCTGCCTCTGAAACATTAAATCCAAACATCCCACTCTGACGAAAATCTTCTATACTTTCAGTTCATGATTCTTTAACATCTATTCTTAAAATGCATCCATAAAGCTGGGCGCAGTGGCACATACCTATAATCCCAATGGTTTGGGAGATGGAGACTGAGGAGATCTCAAGTTCAAAACAAGCCTCAGCAAAGTGAGAGGCTAAGCAACTCAGTGAGACTGTGTCTCTAAATAAAATACAAAATAGGGCTGGGGATGTGGCTCAGTGGTCAAGTGTCCCTGAATTCAATCCCTGGTACCTCCCCTCTCCACCCAAAAAAATGCATCCATGACTTCAGTCCCTAAAATCTCTATCAGTTGCTTCCCATTATCATTCCTTTCTCCAGTCAGCCACTTTCTTACCAATAGCCTTAACTTACTCCCATTTCTTTCCACTGAATACCTACCTCCCAGCACTATCACAGATTACAGCCCTACATAAGTTCAACTGAAACACTCTTCTCTTATGCCCTTAGTTAGAGAAAAATCATACATCCACCCTGCCTGCAATATATATGAGAAACTGACAGAGAAGATAATGCTGGTAGCTTTACATCTGTAATATTTTGTTTGTTTTTTGAGATCCTATCTAGTTCCTGCCACTCTTACTTTGATTCCTTGAGTTCCCTCAATGCTCTGTGAGGCAATAAGTCCCCATCACCTTGGCCAAACTGAGTTGAGTTTCTGTCAAAATAGTCTTAACTAATACTCCCCTCTTCATCAAAGACTGGTTTACACCCTTCCTTCTGTCTACAATATACTTGGTTCTTACCATTGTATTCATAAAAGGAGTGATATGTCTGATTTCTCCAAGATTACATTAGCAGTTACCACACTGAATTGCTGATAGTATTTGTGTGTCTCCGACACTAAGCTGTACTCATCTTGAGAGCTGGAATTGCATAATAGATATAATCATTTCTCAGTACATGTGAGACGAATGAATGAGCAAATGAACAAATGAAGTGTGACTTAAGATTACGGGCTTTGTTATAAAAAGATCTGGATTTGAATCTGTCTTTATTATTTATTCTCTGGGTGATGTGGTGGCAATTTGCTTCACCTCTCTGAGACTTGTTTTTTTATTTCCCTATAAGTTATGAAATATAGACATAAATGCCTGGTTGTCCAGAATATTGTTGGGATTAAAAGAAGATGTTCAAATGCCCAATACCATGTATTTATTCTATTTAATTTGTAGCTCTAAAAGGAAAAAAAATTCCTTTGGGACAAAGTTTATAGTATCATATTAATTTTAAAAAGAAAGACAAACTCTCTCCATAGATAGAAACTTTCTCCATAGATAGACAGATAGAGCTATCAACATTTTAATAAATAAAAACATTCAAATAAAAAAGAGACATTGAAATACTCAACAAAGGCAGATAGAGGAGACTCATTAGTTTCCATTAGGGAAATTCCATTGGTCTGCTTTTATGCTGGACTTTTGAGAAGGGAATATTCTGGAAACTTTCAGAATTAAAGGTAGCTGGAAAAAAATAATTGAACAAATAAAATAATCATGACACAGAGGAGCCAAAGGGATCATTAAATTTCTTTAAGGAGAATGAAGGTATTTATTTTGTTAAGTATTCTTAGTATCTAGCACTTTATATTGCAAATACTTATTGAATTAAATTAATGAATCTTGTGATATTCTCAGCCTTGATAAGTAATCTATGGATATGATGCTACTTAAACTAATTTTTATATAAAGAAATATAAACATTTTTTTATATGTGAAAAAATGATGTCACAGACAAATATTTGCTGAGTGTTCACTGTATGTAAGGAACTTAGAAAGTTAAAAAGGAGGGGGAAAGCAACCATACTCTCATTCTGAAGAAACAACTACTATTCATATTTTGAGTATTTTTCTGTCTTTTTTTCCTTTTCATAGGAAATATATTTAAAGAATTCTTTTTATTACACCATACAACTATATATATATATACACACACACACACATATATATATAAGCTATATATATATAAAAATACAAAAACAAATACAATTTTCAATATATTTAAAATTAGAAGAAGAGCATTGTAATTTTCTAGTTACTTTCCTTTTCCTTAAATATCCTATGTTTGACATTTAAGGAAAAATGAAAAATTCTGGTAAGTATAATTCGCATTTTTAAATCTTTGGAATCTACTTTCACAAACTTTAATATCCTATAATTTAAATACTTGTTAAAATTTCAGCTTAGAAAATCTCCTTGCCTTCCTTGTATAGACAAGAAATTCATGATTTGGGAAATGAGACTTAAACTTTAAGACTGAAGGAAAAATCTGGAACTCTTCTTTTGGATCTGTTTTGCTCCCAGTGAGATGTGAAGCATTTTAAAAATCCATCTGACATCTATAATGACACAGGTTTTTCTTTATCATCATGACTTAGGAGATATAAAGTTGGACCCCCAGAAATAGTGATTTCAAGGATAGTCAACTGCTTTGTCTATCTTAGCATTACGATTATTCTAAATAAGTTTTGTTTCTTATTAAAGTTATCTAACATAAATATTTGCTGCGTCAATAAGATTTACCTATAAATAATGTTTAATGGCTATACAGTATTCTGTTGTATGAACATATCATAATTTTCTTAACATTCCCCTCTTTTGGACACTTAGGTTTCCAGCTTTTAGTTAATGTAAAGCATATTGTAATGAAAAGCTTTGAGCAAAATGTTTTCTTTCAGATTATTTTCCTAGCAAAGATCTACCTAAAGGGCCATTTTTAGTTCAAAAGACATAAAAATGTTTTAAGTTCTCAATATATACAGTCAATATATACAGTCAATTGATTTTCACCAACAGCATATACCTGTCCTTGGTAGTCATAAGGGGAAATTTTTTTTGACTAATTTGATAGATTATATGGTATCTAATTTTAACTTGCACTTGTTGGATCATAGTTGAGACTCAATTCTTGGTCATTTTTATTCCCTTTTTGTGAATTTAATTATCCATTTCTCTTTTTAACATGATGTTTTATTGGCATTTATAAGCCCTTATAAAAATGTTAATTTTGTCTTACATTTATTAGAGATATTCTCTCTCTCTCTCTCTCTCTCTCTCTCTCTCTCTCTATCTCTATCTCTATCTCTATCTCTATCTCATTGGAATTCCTTCAGCACACATTTATCTGAGTCTCTCCAATGTGCTAATCATCAAGGAAGAAACACCTGCCATGCTTGATCTCATAGTCTAATTAGATCATCTCATAGTCTAATGTGGGAGGCAGGCAGGTAAAGCAATGATTGTAATAAAGCTTTCACAGGCTGCACTAAGAGTACAAATAAAGCTATAGTGGATATGCTAAAAGAGATATGTGGACAATTCCACATGTAAGGGCCACAAATCCCTTCCCAGAAAAATGATTCTTAATTAAGTTTAATAAGCTTAGTAAATTAGCAGAGTGACAAGCTCCAAAGTGGGACAAGGCATTCCAGACAAAGCAACACCTTTCCACCAGGCCAGAAACCTGGTTGGTACGGGAAACTTCTGTATTTGGATTTGCTAGAAAGTAAAATGTCAGGCAAGTTCAGAGGATGAAGGGACTGGAAAAACCTCAGAGGTCACATAATTTTAAAAATTACAAATACCTACAGATTTTCAATGAAGTCTAATCAAGCTGCTTTCTTCTGTTCTCTTACATAATGTCTAAGAAAGTGGCCCAAGATTTGATGTTTACCTTTTCTTTTACTAGAAGAAAATACTTTGATTTTACTTTACCTTACGTTGGACTATTTAATCCATCTGAAATTGACTATGATGAATAAGAAAGTAAGCCTCATTTGTATCTCTTTTTTTTTCTGTTTTAATATGTATCACATCTATTTTCATTAAACTTTTCTGTGACCTTACTTTGCTAATTCAGGGAGTGGTGAATAAAAAAAAATCTATTTTCATATAAGGTAGGTGAAATGATGGAAATTTTACTGGGATTTGCTTGTTCAATATTTAAATATCAAACTGAGTGGGGCCAAACATGAGGGAGCAAACTCCCAGCCACTTAGGGACCTGGCTCTCAGGAGTACTACTGCTGCTTTGTGTTCATAAATTGTACGTTTTTGAGAAGACAAAAATTACAGAAAGTAATTTATTCTCCTGACAAATGAATGGGGTAGAGTGAGAAGGGATAAGATGGTATAAACTTGATTTGTTTACTCCTACTGGAAATCAGGGGGAGTCAGATTTCTTCCCTGGTGTGGGCTAGGAATTGAGTGCCGTTAGCATCTCTCTGGCTGTACAAGCCAGATACTGACTGTGAACTGAGGGATTGGTTGGTTAGAAAGCAAGGGTAACCTGACAGATTTGCTTAGGATCCCCTCCCCCCTTTTCCTATTGTTACTTCACAGCATTCTGAAGACCTGCCCACCAATTACAGGACTCTTTACTGGAAAAGTCAGCTGGAGTGCCAAGAGTCCCTAGCAACACCCTGCGGCTTTTGAAATCAGAGTGGGAGAGACTGTGTGGTCAGCTGTTAGTGGAGGAAAGCTTCTATGCCTCAGGAAGAGCAGTCACCTGGGATGGACACTCGACCAGGTGAAGAACCCTTAGATAAGCAAAATGAAAAACAGAAAAAGGAGGAAGAGGGGATGGAGTTTAAGGAACTGGAAGGGCTGAGGGAAGCCTTGGCAAACCTGAGGGGGCTGTCGGAGGAGGAGAAGGGTGAGAAGGCAATGCTTTGCTCCCGTATCCAAGAGCAGTCCCAGCTCATCTGCATTCTGAAGCGGAGGGCCGATGAGGCCCTGGAACGCTGCCAGATCCTGGAACTGCTTAATTCAGAGCTGGAGGAGAAGAGGATGCAGGAGGCACAAAAGTTGAAAGCCCAAAGTGAGCATGCCCTGAAACTGGAGGACCGTTTCAGGACCTTGGCAGCCAATCACGAGTTGATGATCCGCTTTAAGGATGAATACAAGAGTCAGAACATCAAGCTGAAGGAAGACAATGAGAAGCTGAAACTGGAGAACAGCAATCTCTTCAGCCAGGCTCTGAAGGACAAGGAGGCCAAAGTATTGCAGCTGACCACTAAGAGCGAGGCTCTCACCAAGGAGCTGGAGGCTCTGAAAGAGAAGTGTGCTCAGGATGCCTGCCAGGCACAGGCCCGAGAAAAGGAGCTGTTGGAGCTACAGAGCCAGCAGGACTGCGCCCACAACAAGGAGACAGAGCAGCTGCGCAGCCAGCTGCAGAGCCTCCAGCAGCAGTACCAACAGGCCATTGAACAGATGGCAGAGGCCCAGGAGACACACAGCAGCCTGAGTCAGGAGCTGCAGGACAGGCTGCAGACCATCACTCAAGAGAAAGAGGAGCTTCTGCAGCTGTCCATGGAGAGGGGCAAGGTGCTTCAGAACAAACAGGCAGAGATCCGGCAGCTTGAGGAGAAGTTGGAGGCAGCAGATATGGCTAGGAGGCATGCGCTAGAGCGCTTTGAGCAAGAGGCAGTGGCTGTAGACAGCAACTTGAGAGTCCGGGAACTTCAGCGAAGAATGGATGGGATCCAAAAGGCCTATGATGAACTCAAGCTGCAGTCAGAAGCCTTCAAAAAGCACAGCCTGGATCTTTTAAGCAAGGAGAGAGAACTCAATGCCAAACTCCGCCATCTCTTCCCATAAGGAAGCTTCTGCTGCTTCTTGTCTTCGATTAATAATTTAAATATCTGTGCCTTAATATTATGGCAAGAGCAAAGATGATACTCCATTTATTATACTTTCAAGCACAAAAGGCAATTTAAAGAAAACCCGCTTGACTATAACATTGCTGTTGTTACTACTGTAAAGCTAACACTAATTTTCAGTTCTACCATCTAGAATACACAAGACTTACAGAGTTCCTTCTGTGCCCTTGAAGTCTTCCTAAATTTGCCATCAGTAATTCCCCCATTGCATAACTTATTCATTCTTAATCTCAGATATCTTTATATATCCTGAGATTCCAAATTAGCAGCTCCTATGATTCAAGTGTATCTAAAATGTACAATAAGATGTGCACAGTAACTGTAGATGGGTAGGCTTATTGTCTCACATAGTTAAGATTGCAAGCAAACATATTAGCATAATAGCATGAGTACATTGCAGAGAAAAAAGCTATTTATTTTGCATTAGCTCAGCAAACAAAAATTTAGAAAAGTAATTTAGGCCACCTTTATTATAGTCATTCTATATGAGCAATAAGATTCAAATGAGTTAAATCAATTTTATTTTTCTTAAAGCTTGGATATCATCCCATTTTCTTAGTTTTCTCCTTAATAAAAACAGGATTTGGATGTGCAATAATGCAAATATCAATAGTTTCATTTAATATTGTGTAATATGTTAATAGATAAAAGGCCTTAATTGGGGGTAACAAGTCATAGCAGACCATTAATGACTTATATAGTAACTCATAGGTATTGCTTTCTGTTTCTATTAGTATATTTTCCTGTAATTAACTTTTTCCTCTTTTAAAAAATAACCTAAGGGACTGGGGTTGTGGCTCAGTGGTAGAGCACTTGCCTAGCACATGCAAGGCCCTGGGTTCGATCCTCAGCACCACATAAAAGTAAATAAATAAAGATATTGTGCCCATCTACAACTAAAAAATAAATATTTAAAAAAATAACCTAAGATGAATGCATACATGTATTCTTAGGCATTTTTGTAGGAATACCTCAATTTTGTAAGAAGAGTTACAAAAACACCGTAGTTAGCATTTATATTTATGTAAAGTTCTGAAAATTCTTAAGGGTAATTGTTTAAATATACTTTTTATTTCCTTATTTTCCTAAATTTAGTTATTGATCTATAAACTTTATTATGACTACTTCTCAAAATAGATTATAATATAGTATTTTTCTTGCCCAGTTGATGCTAAGAATACCAGTCTTGCATAATAAATTAGATTTACTCAAAAAATATTAAATGGGGAAATCTTTATCTCCCCACTTCCATTATGTTTGTGAGAAACGTTCTCACCTGTCCAAACCCAGTGCCTTTTAAACAACAAAAAAAGTGCATGCATTTTTTTTAAACCTATGGTATCATACTAAGACTATGCTATTAAATATAAAATTTTCTCATCAAAATAGAAAATCCCTTTTTGCTTCAAAGAACATTCCTCTTATAGTTTACAACAAATCACAATGTGAAAACTAATTTAGATGTGCTTATCATTTATTGAGCCCACACTATCATTTGCTGAAGCAATTCAGATAAATTGTTTTGTTTAATCTTTAGGGGTATTCAAGAAGATAGGTTCATTCCTGTCTCAAAGAGGAGGAACTGGCTTTCAGTAATTTGCTTAAGATGAACTTTTTCACTGAAGGATCTGGGATTTCCAACTGAAATTATTCAGTGTAAGGTTATCTTTCACATGGAAAGATATTGGTTATTGGCATTCTGAGTGAGTAGGACTGAGTATAAGCCGAAAGAAGCATTGCTTGCCTTGGAAGAGCCCCCAAGACTAAGTCTAGGGGCAAAACCCCACAAACCATTGTAGACAATGTGATGTGGCTTTATATGTGGTGCTATGAGGCCACCAGCGGAAACACACTGGGCATCTAGTGCCACCTGGGGATAAGGATTGAGAAGAGAAGGCTGCCAGGGTTGACTAACATGAAGGGTAGTTCTTCAACTAGTAGAATGTCATCAGGAAGGGAAAAGGGACAAGGATTTGAGGCAGCATCATGTGGAAGGCATGGAAATTTTTAAAATGCCAAGAATACTAGGAGAAATTATAAGTAGTTCAGAGGAGGTACAGATACAACTGGAAAAGTAGGTTGAGGCCAGAATATAGGGGTCTTTGAAAGCCAGGCTGGCCCCTTATATAGCTGGGGAGTTTTGCAGGTGGAGGTAAGCAAGGAAGAGAGGAGAGATGCAAGCCAACAAATGGAAACCTCAGACCTAGCCCTCTTCACACCTAGATCAAGCCCCCTTGTGTGTAGGTATGCCATTACCATCCCTCCCTCCCACTGTCGTCTCCTCCTACCCTACCATTTTAGGTGGACAGGTGTTCCTGAAGAAGCCTAGAGGTGGGTAGGTAAGGGGCAGGTGCATGTCCCCTAAGACGTGTAAGCATAAGGGAAAGGACCCTGTTGCTCAAGTCTAAGAACAATACTGCTTGAAGCCACACTAAGTGGAGCTGGGTTGTAACTTAGTGGTAGAGCACTGGCCCAGCATGTGTGAGGCACTGGGTTCAATTCTCAGAACCTCATATAAGTAAATAAAAATGAAGGTCCAGTGACAATTAAAATTTTAAAAAGTCATGCTAAGGAGTTTGTATAAATTGAACTGTATAAAATTGATCCTAAATGGTCATATAGACTTTTGAAAGGAAAGTGGAAAATGAGAAGGTCAAAGCCCAGTACCTTGAGAACAGGAGGGAAGAGTTCACAACATAGACTAAGAACATAAGAGGAATGGACAACTTTCACATGTCAAGTGCTTTTAATTTTATTCCTATGCCACCTTCTCAAGAAAGATTCAATTATTACTATTTTACAGATGAAAAAAAGTGAGACTCAGAGAGGGTGACCTGCCCAAGGCCAAGCAGCTTTGGAGAAGCAGGAGTGAGATTTGAACTAAAGACCTTCCAGCAGGGTTTCATGAGGCCCTCCATGGGGCCTCCACACTGTCACTGTCATGAAATTCTTAATTTTTTAACAAGGGACCCTCACAGTTTTCATTTTGTGATCAGCATTGCCAATTAAGTAGCTGGGATTGCTTTCTGGCTGTAAAACCCATGCTTTTCCCCACTACACAAACTACCTTCTAAATAACCACAAAAACATTTTTTCCTCTGTGCTCTGCTTTGCATTCTACCCTCTTAGCAGTCATCTTGTATTTAATCTGTGACCCGGAACCACACTGGATAAGTAACCAGTTTAGCTGGGCTGTGGAATGCTGCTCTATAAAGTGACGCTTATCACTTGGATAAACTAACAAAATGTAAATCGGTCCCCTTCTCTGTTTAAAAAACAAAGACTGAGTGTGGTGGTTTGGTGGCTCAGGCCTATAATCCCAGCAACTAAAGAAGCTGAAGCAGGAGGCTTGCAAATTCAAAGCCAGACTGGGCAAAAGAAACTCTTTCTCAAAATAAAATCATCGAAAGGGTTGAGGTTGTAGCTCAGTGGTAGACCACCTCTGGGTTCACACCTTAATACTGAAAGAAGAAAAATCTCCTCTCTAAAGCAGACCTATATCTCTGGAGAGTTATTCTGCAATACCCACAAGCAGAATCCTTAAAATGAAAGTCAGCAGAACAAAAATTTTAAAACTAAATACTGCATTCAGTAACTAATGTAATCACTTGAAAGATCTTTAAATTGTACGATTTTAAGTGTGCCTCTTGAGAAACTGGTCTGCTTCCCTAAAAATTGAGAGCTTGAAACAACTATAGGAAAAGTGCACCAACTGATGTTTTCAGAGTACTCATTTTGCTTCAGTTAGTGAAAACAAATTCAAGTTAATATGTTTCTAGTAAAATATTAATAGGAAATTTTATCTGCCCATTTCCATGATGTTTGTGAGAAACGTTCTTACCTGTCCAAACCCAAAGAATGAACTGAGAGACAAAGGTACAGAGAAAGCAAGGCTTTAATTTAATGACAATCTTGCAAGATCGGAGGAGCAGGCATGCCCAGAGCAGTTAAAATCAGTATTTTATCCCCTAGTGTGCAATATCCCTCCCCTAGTTCCTCATTGGCTGAGCACCACGGGATGCACAATGTTCCCGAAGTTTGCTTACATTTTACTGTCTCCTGTTGGGTTATTTGAAGAAATATATTTTAGTTGTTTCCACCTCCCATGGTTCTCCTGTGGCAGGAAAGTTGTCTTGGAGGTGAAGGCATTCTTAAGTTACTATTTTGGGGGTGGGGGTAGTGCTGGGGATTGAACCAAGGGCCTTAGTATATACAAGGTAAGCACTCTATCAACTGAGCTACACCCCCAGCCCAAGTTATGCTTTCTTAACAGAGATTTTTTCTCTGTTGGTCAGACTCCCCCCCACCCATCCTGTTTATCAAAGGGTTGTTCAGGGGCATAGAATTTGGATCTGCCACATCCATAGGCTATGGTGCTACTGTGTGAGATAACTACTTGTAACTTTCCATTCTGCTCTATTTCCTCTCCAGCTGCCTTTCTTACATCCCAATTTTGCATTTAAGGCTAAATACTGTATTCTGAAAATGGACCACTGGACTTTCTATTTCTCACATACTGTAGTTCAACAATTATTTAAAGAGCATGGGCTGAAGAAGTACCAACACAGGTGCCTGCTGTTCTATCCAGCCCTCTTTGACCCAGATTCCTGTGGATTAGCTGTGACTAGGTCAGTGCAGGTATGATTCTCTGCTCCCCATTGCAAAAGAATGAGCAGAAATTTGAAATCCCACCTCTTGGCTCATGAATAAAGAAAAGAGAACCATAGCTCTAACTGCTCTCCTCAAAGCTAATCCTGCCTTGTCTTCCAGTATAAATTAGCTGAATTTGGGTCATCTGGAAATACCTCAGCCAAGGATCTTAATAGGGCATGTGGCCGTGATTAATTAGACCGAATGAGGATGGGATTGAGGCCAGTCTATGCTATGTAATGGAAGGAGATACTTGAGAAAGGCAAGGACTTCCAGTAGAGATGAATAGGGATGAATGCTTGGTAGGCCACCAACAATGTCTGCTGTACTACATCCACTTAGATGGTAGATCCTTATCAAGCATGGTGTGTGTTTTTATTTAAAAAATATTTTTAATTTTAGACGGAAACAATAACTTTATTAATTTTTTAATGTGATGCTGAGGATCCAACCCAATGCCTTACATGTGTTAGGCAAACACTCTACCACTAAGCCACAACCCCAGCCCTGTTTTTTTTTTTTTATCTTTAATCACAAGTCTTGAAAAAATTGTAAGAATTTGAGGGAGAGGCCAATAATAGACTTTTCTAATCATGGTCTATTTTCCCAAGGACAAACTGGAGGTTATTTTCCAAACACCAAAGACATCATATTAAACTTAAAGGCCTAGAGCTGTACAGATGAGTTTCCCTACCTGATGCTATTCTCTCCAAAACCTGTTAATCTCACATAGACAAAACTAATTCAAGAAAAATTTTCTCTTGCTAAGATCTGCCCAGTCATTAGTTACACATTCACCTAATTATAGTGCCCCACAATCCCCTCACCAGGCCCACACAGGGATCAATTTAATGCTCAAATCCACTCTTATTTATAAATGTCAAATAATTTCCCCCTTCATATTTAAGGTTTGCTATAGTTTGAAATCTTAAATGTCTCCCATAGGTCCATGTG